CAGTGGTTAAATACTTTGGCCCTTCCATCACATACAAGGGATTCTGATTTAAATTTGTTGAATACTAGATACACACGTTTTCTTAATTCAACAGGCGGTCGTTCTTGGGACAATATCACGATGCGTCTAGATACAACGGAAGTTCGCGGGCACAAATTTTATTTGAATATAAAACCACATTGGCCCAGTTTGTTAACTGGTTTCGGTAGTAATAAAAATAAAATCGCTTTAGTATTTCCTTTGACACAAGTTGGAAATACATCCTACAGCACGATCAAAGTTTACAATCCGAGCATTACCCCTTTAATAATACAATTAATTATGGATTGGACTTATCCACAAGGAACAAGACTCTATCATTCATTACCTGCCAAGTGTGTATCTTTCAAATAAATATACGACGAATGAAACGATCATTACTCGCAAAAAAATTATGGCAAAATTATGTATCTACGTATGAATAAATATACTTTTATGCGTAGGTTTAAGTTTACATGCGTAGAATGTGGATCTACAGTTGCAGAAGAATTTAAGCTAGTAGAAAGTACAGCAGACAGAGAAAGGTTTGAAAGAGAGTGGGATGTTACAGTAGCATCACAATCGGTTCCCTTATATTTAAAACCTTCGGAATCAAGAATCATACAAATATCATACACACCTTTCTCACCATCTTTATCATCCGCACTTTTATACGTTAGGTAAATGTATTAAATTTATTAAATTAGAAAAACGAAATCTCATTTGACTTCCATTTGCAGAAATAACATGACTATATTGGAAGTATTACGCGTAATGGGACAAGGGGCAAATGCACAATTCAGATTTGGAAATCGAAAGCCAGGTTCTACCACGCCTTTATTATTTGAACTTGCGGATAAACATCTTAAAGATTGCGAACGTATGTACGTTTCTTCATCCTCGTTCTATCGTTTAAGCAGAATAGACAAACGAAAGCATTTTATTAAAAATTACCATCTTAATTGCGAACAAACAATATCTTGATGTAAATAATATGAAATGATATCTTTAAAAATTGTCGCTTAATCGCTTTGTTGTTTTTCCGAATGATAGGAGAACGATTTAAACGAAATCCGATTCCAAATCTGACGGTAAAAAGGTCCTTTATGGCAAGAAATACAGGAGAACTTCCTATAGAAGTCTATGATTTTTATATTAACGGTTTACAGTGCGAAGGGTATGGTTTTAAAGTATTAAACTGCGTGCCGTTTAAATTGAACCCAAACGCCACGAGGAAAGTGGAAATAGCGTTCACGCCAGATTTTACGTTGTCACGTATCGAAAGGAAACTCCTGATATCTACGAGTTTGGGTTCTGACAGCGATATAGAAAACGGTATGGCGATACTTAATTTACTCGCTACTTTGCCTTCGCATTCGTTGGAAGCTTGTACAACTGCGCTTACAAGACCATCGTGGGAGTACATCATGCAACGGGCAGCTATCAGTCTTTCATCCATATTGTTAATGTGCGTTCTCGCCATTTCATTCCTCGAAGCGGATCGAATATTACGGAGAACTTTAGCCAACTTCTCAAGAGAAGTGCAGCTACCTCTAGATTTAAGACTATCATCGCACGGTATGCCTGTACATTTAACGCAAGATTCAACTTCTTTGAAAGAGAAATTAACAAACGAAGAGAAGCAAAAAATAACGAAAAGGGAAGAAACGTGTCCAGATTGGGCATCGATGAACGTGAAAAAGTATAAAGATAAAGATAACGCGCAGAAAGGACTAAAAATCCCTGACTGGTCCGCGGACGAAGAACGCAGATTTAAGTTGGATACCGAGGCGAAAGACTCGTTATCTTTCAAGCGATGCGAAGAATCGAGTTTAGATAACAGTAACGTTACAAGCAATATTACGTTCGGTGCCAAGAAAAGAAATAACAAAAAACAGAACAATACACAAGAGATTCAGACGGACAATTGCGCGACAGAAAACGCATATTCAGATATTCAGGGAACTCAAGAAAAAAAATACACCGTAAATATGCTTACAAAGATAAGTCCCGTAACAAACAGGAAGGGAAAGTCGAATCAAACAACAAACGTTAAGACGGAGACGAAGTTGGTCGATCATGAAGTTCAAGTTGATACGACGGGACTTCTTAATAGTAATATTACTCGAAGCAACAAGATAGACAGCAAAAGAAAACAAACTGCAATTGGAAATAGCAATAACAATCACGCGTCTTTCAAAAAATTTGAACCGAATAGTAATCAGAGGAACGTACATCTTTCAGAGGAAGAAACGTCGTCTACAACAACTGAAAGTTCTGTTCAAGACGATCCACCGTTGCGCAAGGTGAGACTCGTGATCGAACAACGAATTTGAAATCTGTATCCATTTTATAAATTACAAAATCAATTTCATGATAAATATTCATTTATCGCAGAATTTTGATCAATCTTGCGGAAAATCCGACAAACTACAAAGGAAACCTGCAACCAAAAAGACCAAGCCTCAATCAATCGCTTCCGTGCCATGCGTAGACTATAGAGATAATTACGAAGGTGACTGCGACGACGATGAATACGACAAAGAAAGGCATAATAATCCAAACAGGTGGAAAACAAATACGAGGTCTACCATGAAACATCATATTCATACAACCCGTACTGTCGAGTCATCTTTCAAGCTACCTCGGCAGAATAAAAATCCTCCTAGAAAGGATAAAGGAACGTCTCAGAAACGTCGAGGGATTGACAAGGGACACACGAAAGGTAAACGAAAAGAATCTTCGATCAAATATCTTTATTTAATTTCATTAATCGTCGATCGTTAACTTTTCAATTATTTTTATTTCAGCAACAACGTTAAACGGGAATACTAGCCAAAGGGAAGATTCAACGCGTACAATAGGTATTGTTTCCGCTCCATTGCCACCGCCACCATCGTGTTGGGGTGAAAATCGAGCTAGGTTTAGCGACGTCGTAGCACGAAATCAAGAGAGTATCTCACCGTTCTCGAGCTTAAACAAGTTACACAAAACTCAAACAACTACGCATGATATGTCAATGATCTTCAATAACGACACCAAAGATGTAGATTATATGAAACAACAATCGAGTCAAGAATTAACGCAGAGTACGAAGGAATACAGAATGGTATCAAAATCTCCGTCTCTCTGTGTTCGGTCTATAGAAGAAGAAAAGTCACTCGGTCAGGATACTTCGAAGATGCAAAATAACTCGCAACATTCAAACAGTTATTTCATAAATGCCTTTGCGGAACCACCGGTAGGTTAAAAAATAACTTAACTCTCTTTGTTAACATTTCTTCGATTGCAATTCGATTGGAACTTGTTTTCAGTTCGAACGCGAATTAGTTCCATACGACGATCTTCCAGAAACCGACGAACCGTTAATGGAATTAGAGAGTCCCGAGGAAGACACGCGGTGTCAGTTGTGGGAAGATAACAATCCTGTGCTTAAATTACTGTCCAATAGTACAAATGGATTTCAGTTAGAATCGCCAAAGTCCTCGGAGAAACCTCCAATGTTAACAGATACGTTAAAGGGTAAAAAACTTGTACAGATAGATTTTTCTTTTTTTATTATTACGTAATACGTAACAATTAAAATTGCATAAAATATCGTAAACTCGAATCGACAGATAATTGGGTAACCGTCGAAACAAATTGGGAACCTTTGTACACCAGAGCAGCAGTAGGAGAAGAAAGAAGCGGCGTCTGGGGAATAAATACAGGTGGTGTATGGGCTGCAGGTCCATGGGGTGCAGCTGCACCACCCGTGGTTTCACAATTATCCTCGTTACAAACAGAATCAGATACGCAAGTAAGAACATCACTTTTTTATTTACAGATTTATCTCGATTTTATATGTCGAACTTTTTGAAATATTATTTCAGGAGAGGTCAGGTTTTGATCCATTTCGTTCACTCAGTACAATATGGACACCGTCATCCTCAGAGTCTTGGAAGAAAAAGCACGAAGACTAATCTCGTTTCCAAAAATTTTCGATATTGTATCTCGTGATATCTAGACCTGGTTAAAGCAATCTTTTTTCCAATACGGGAATTGAAAATGTATTTATTAGCAACATCTTTCACGATCGATAACGCTCAAGCTACGAGCTGATTTTTGTTATTCGTGTTTCACGCATTTGCGATATGTTGTTAAATAGTACCTCGCATGATAATACCGAATAATTTCGGGCAAAATTGTTTCATATTCGTTAAAATTTTACATTTGTCATTTATCGATTCGCGTTACACGTTATTGGTATTTTAGCATGACACGTTGAAATTTTCATTGTTAATTCAAAATCATAAGTTTTTTTTACGATATCGAGTTAAAATGTCCAAACAAAGTCCGAATTGGAAGTAAAATTTTGCCAATCGAAACACAAATCGATCAAAGAAGTGGATATGTAAAAGTAAAAGTTTCTAATTCGTTGATTTTTTCTTTTTTTTTTTAATTTTCTACACGTACATATTGGTCTTGACGCGTCGCAAAAAAAAGGTAATAATTAAATTATTCGGAACGAGTGAGAACTGTGATTTTTATAGTCTCGACTTGTAGAAATTTCATTGGTAAGTTTTCAAAATATTTTACAAAGTTGCGATGTATACAAAACAAAATAAAAATGTGTACCTACTCTTCAAGACTGGTAATTGCTGTGTTTTAATAGTTTGAATCTTACTTTTGTAAATGACATATTTCAAAGAAAGTAAGTTAAAACGTTTAATTATTTATAAAAAAAATATATTAAAACTTGTCCAAGGTAAAGTTAAAACGTGTTTTATTGCAAAATTGACAAAGTATATATTTAGGAAAT